ACACCATAGGATTTACTTCCAACTAAATATGCACAAGATTCGACTATGTGTACTCTAATTAGAATAAAGTCCTCCTCAGTTTAATCAGACTTACTCAGAGTAAGTGCATAGAACTGCAGCCTTAATGTAGTAAAGAAATACACAGTAAATATACTACAGTGACTATTCGTTGCAAGGCCACAAGGAGGCAACCAAACCATGGTGATTACAAACACTATATCAACATTACAAGACTAATCATAATCAGTCCTTTCAGTTAAAGCCCAAACATTTTTGTTCCAAAGAATAAGAACATGGCCTACAATGCCACATGGCCAAAAACAGTAGCAAGAAGTTTCAAGAGAATGATTTATCTTATGACACAAGTTATTAAAATGAGATGCAGAAAAGAGCAATAGTAAGTTTAGCAGCATAAATATTTTGAGAATTTGGAAACTGTTGAAGCAAAAGCCTTGGTATATCTGGATAGTTCTTCATGAGGTCAGCTATTATCTCTGTCTTATTTTTATACCTTGCCAACCATGTCTACCAGACTCCAAATGTTTGTTAGCATTAACTCATCTTAGGGAGCTTCGAGGTAAAAGGTAAATGCCATTGAGTAGCCAGCTATTCAAATCAGCATTCCTGAAATGTTAATTTCACACAGGGACTGCACAAATTCCCATAATGATTTCTAGTAGCCCAAATGGTCCAGAAAAATCAGTACAGATTATACAGTAAATGAGATGCAGGAAAGGTTCTGCAACAGGGATAGGGAAAATGTGGTTCTCCAGATATGAAACTGCAACTTTCATAAACTTTCACCATAGGCTATGCTGGCTAGGGCAGATCAGAACTGTCATCTGTCAACATGTTCCCCATTCCCATTCTACATTAAATATATATCTCTCATTATTTGTTCCTTTACTTTCTGTTCAGGAGAATCAATGCTAGGGAAAATAGCATCCAGAAAAAACTTTAAACTCTATCCACAAAAATGGAACTACATATATCTAATTTTTCAATCATAATAAAGCATGCAAGCAGGGTACAAAAACAATCCTTAGCATACTGGCATCTGAAGATGGAGGTTTTATTTGACTATTGTACTTAAAAGTTTTTTAAAGCCACCAACGTTAGTGAACATCTCCATAACTTGCGTAAGCAAATGTGCTTATTTCTGTGGTTATTGTTGTGGCTCAGGATTTCACAGCTGCCATAAAAACCATGAGACTGTCAAACATATGATCAAGCCAATACATAGCAGGATAGACTCCAGTCCTGTATTTTCTTATTTTTCTGGAAGGTCAAGGGGATAGTGATTTAAAGGTGGAGAGCTTTGATTCAGTCCTTTTGTCATGGGCAGATCATTGCCTCTTTATGTTTAGACTGATGAAAGCTTTCCTGTCTTTGAGGCTGGGGGACCTATAAGGATAGTCCAATCCCCCCAACCCCCAATAATGGATCCAGATGCTTTCCAAAGTGCTCCAGATGGTTTCCTGGCCAGTATGGCTAGTGCTCCTGTCAATGCCTTGGTCAATCTCTGGAAGACAGGAATGACCCAAACACCTGACACAATCCCTCCTGAAGGTGGTTTTGACCAGCTAGTCACAAATTCTCAGACAACCATCCTCACAAGGCTGTGAGGATAAGACAGAGGCGGAGAATTATGTAAGTCACCTTGAATTTTTCAAAAGGAAAAAGGTGGAATATAAAATAAATATACACATGGCTTGGTACTGCAATACCTGACAAGAGTGCTTCTTCTAACCTGAAAATACCTGGAGACTATGGTTAACATCAGAGGTTTTCCTGCGAATGCAACCTCCAAGGAAAGCTTAAAGGGTGTCATCAAGACAGCAGGCTTTTTCAGTGGTGGTCCCCCAGTTATGGAACGATCATCCTACTGAAGCCCACCTGGTTCTAGTTCTGTTATCTTTTCAGCAGCAAGTTACTGCTGAAGTTAAGACCACCCTCTTCTCCCAGGCATTTAATGGCATGTAATAATATTTAACGGCATGCTGGGGCATTTAGGGCAGCTGCTTTTAATAGATCTGGTGATACTAAAATCATTCTAGCTGTTAATTTTTTAACATTTTAGTATACCGGAAAAATGTTGTTTTCATGTATTTTTTTGTATCTTTACATTTTATGAATTGTTATAGATTGCACAGGGAGCACTTTGGGCAGTATAAAAATGACATAAATGGTAATCTTAACATATTGGAAGTTTTACATCGGTTTCTGTCTCCCCCCCCCCCCGTTCCTTTATAATTTCAGAACTCATAACTATGCCTGAAGCTATTAGCAAAAATGGGCAAATAGGAAGAATTCTTTTGGAATCCTTCACATGGCATCAGCCTACAGAGGGTTGGTCAAGATGAACATTATTACTTCCAACTGAATTTATAGCATCCTCTAACTGCTTGCAATAAATGATGGAGCTGGTATGGCATATAATTTCATGCAAAGGAAGCTTTACCTCAAGTATGAAAGAGTACTTTCAATTAATTATAACTGATACTGGGCCAATCAGTTGGAGCTTTAAACTGATGCAGATATCTATCCTAAATGAGCAGCCACACTAAAGGGAAAAAAACAAAAAACAAAACAAAACACCAGAAGTTCATTCCAGTGAAGAATATATATACCTTGACAATTCTATGTGTTGGTCATAAGGGCATGACTGCTTTCTAGCCAGTGAATAAGCAGTTAGAAAAGCTTTAGAAGAATTTAGATAACCTTTTTTCTTCACTGGAGACATCTACTGTGTGGAAAAACACAAGTATACCACCATATATGAAATGTACCGAATTTATCTTCCATGACCACACTGTTTCTGAAACCACTGTGGCTGACCAATCAAAGCAGTCACAAGCAAAATGAATTTGCACCGTGTTTTATACCAATTAAATTCTTCCTAAACAGAGGCAATAATGATTGATGTCTAGCGTATGAAAAATGTCATGAATGAAACAACCTTGAAAGCCACTTTACACCATTCTTCTATACCCTGCTCTAGGAATGCCTATTCCAACTAGCAGCTGCTCTCCAAGAACTCATGCCAAGGTGTTTTCCAGCACTTCCTACCCTAGAGCCTTTTAACTGGAAATGCCAGGGGTTGTTCCCAAGATGCCCTATATGCAAAGCCCTTCCAATCAGCTAAGCACCACCCTTTGCATGCACGAGATCTGAAGTTCAATGCCTTACTGCCCCCAGTGAAAGAATCTCTTCAGAGCTGGAAAAGATCTTTGTCAGACCACCCTGCCATTTATAATTGTCCAAGGACTTGGGAAAAATATAAGGCAATCATGCACACACACGAGCAGAAAGTAATTGACTTGATCTGCAGGAAAAGAGAATTGCTGCAAAGAAATATTAATAACTTCAATACAATGAGGTTTATGCAAAATCTTTGTCATTTCTATATGCAACACATTTCTTACACTAGGTTTAGAAAATCATATCCAGGGTTAATGAGCTTAGATAGGAACAAATGTTTTCTATATGCATGTAGTCCCTTTTCCCATCCCTTCCTGGAATGCCTGAATGGAATGTGGAATCCTCCAATTCACTCTAGTTTCCCATCTTATCCTAACTTTGGCTGCCAGTTTGGCAACAAGCCAGGAACAATAGTTCTAAGATGGCTCAAAAACCTGGCTTAATGCAGAGCTGGTAACCAACTTTTCCTGGTTGATAAACTATGGTTAACTGGTGAACTTTGCATTCTAACCAATGCATGTCATAAAGCAATAAAGGAAGAAGCTGTGTGCATTGGCAAAAGTCTAATGCACATACCAGTTTATTAAGTCCACATATGATATACAATTACTGGATGTACATTGAGCTGAATACGCCACGATAAGTAAAAGGAAAAATAAGCAAGTTCCATGAAGCAATGATATATCCATTGCAACAAAATGAACAGAATATAAGGAAACATTTCTGAATCAATGAAAAGTCAGATGCTGAAAATATCAAGAGGCAGGAAAAGAAACCATCTCTCTAATGCAAGTGAAAGAAATAAGACATGAGTGGAGCTGGCTGAAGCTGGGAGTCAGACTAGATAGCCTGGAAGACGCTTTGCTATGGATAGGCTGGACGTCCACATGGTGGGCATGTCGTGAGCAGAGCCGGCTGGTGCTGGAGGTCAGACTAGATGGCCCGGGAGACCCCTTCTGACTCGCTCTGTTTCTATGTTTCTATGCATCTAAGACTGCAATTTATTCAGGTATGAATTTTCATTTTAGACTGAACTGATTTTTCAGTAGGTTGATCATAATACATTGAGCACTCCCAGATCCTTTTTGATCATTCACACAGTTACACATGGCTAGCCAAAAAACATTTCTCACAGCCCAATTCAAAGACTACATAAAAGTAGATAATTTAAGCCCTATTATGCTATAGTGCAAACCTAGACATACTTAGTAAAAGTAAGTCTTAACAAGTTCAGTGGGTTTTACTGCCTAGTAAATGAGTTTGGGATAGCAACCTAAGGGTGCAATCCTATGGAGAAAAAAGTCCTAAAATTCCCAGCATATTCTAGGCAGTGATACTGACTGCAAAATGCTGGAAATTGTAAGGCTTTTTTCTGTCTAAATATGCATAGACAGAATGTCTACATGTTAAGCTGGTGAAGCACATGCTTTATGGAATAATAATGATGGAATCTGTAAGTTAGAAGTCCCTGATTTAAAGATTTATGTATTTTTTCAGCAGTATCATTTAACACATTTATTCATAGTTTATTAGACATGAACCTTTTCATAGAATGAACAACTGCTCTTTAAATACATTCAACTTCATGACTAAGGAAATAATTGTCAAGCATCTGATTCCTTATCCCCCACCCTCCATGAGTTTAACAACTTTTTAACACTCTACTAAATGAGGGCTCTAGTCTGTGAAGCTCTAGGCCATATGATTGCTAGGAAGAAAATCAGAGACACTGGCAGAAAAAGCAGGGATGATTGCTAGGAAGAAAATCAGAGACATTGGCAGAAAAAGCAGGGATGTACCTCCTCGTAGTTTTTTGCTTCCACTCCATGCTTCATATTCAAGGTCACGAGCTGGTCTGGCATCCGCCCTGTTCCTGGAAGTGCAATGAAAGGATTCATTGTATGCAGTGCTCAGGCTGCCAGGAAATTCCCAACCTCCCCCCTTCCCTCAACTAGAGAGGAATTTGCTGCTCTCCTGCCATACAAGCCTCTGAACAACTAAGGAGGCAGTCCAACTATGCCTAAAATCACAAAAAATGTCAAAAGTATAGGCTGGAAGAATAATTCCCACAAATACTGAGAATAAGCTGCAACTAAGCATGCAGAGTGTGCAGAACACAAGGCACTCGGATTTCCTGGTTTTCACTCCAGTCCTTAGCAATAAGGAAACATTCAAACCAATTAGTGCCAGAGAAGCTGGGGGAAGTAAATAGACAAATTTTATTCAAATGAAAAGCAAGTAGAAACCTAAAGTGGTATATTAGATCAAACAGAAAGAATTAACCATAAATGAAAATAATGTTCCAAGTCAAAAGATCACCTAGCTAATTACAAATTCATTTGGAGAATGGACAATTAAGTATTATTACAGCTGTGCTACTACTATGTTACCTGCCTGATTCCTCTTCCTTCTTACCTTCCTTCTCATTTCTCAAGCAACCAAGAAATATCAAGTGCCCTCTTTCAAACTCACCTTTGGTGTGTGCTTTGCCTGTAGAATTATATATAAGCATATATTCAGTCTCAAGTGAATATTTGCATTCAATGTGTGAAATCATCATTGTAGTCATTTGGTTTACAATCTAAAGCCTTATGCTTTGTTTTACTTTGTTTGGCTTTATATTGTCTCACATTTCATCCTACAAATTACAGTAACTTATCTGTGTTGATTTATTGTTGCAGGTTTATCTCCAATCCAGAAGTAGATAACCTGGTGACTTCCAGATGTTCTGGACTACAGCTCTCATAATCCCTAACCACTGTTCATACTGGCTGGGGCAGATGGGAGTTGTAAACCAAAACATTTGGAAAGTACCAGATTGTCTATCACATAGATTCTAGGTACTTTGACCTTACTTTCTAGTGCCTGTCCTGAGGTGGTGCCACTTGGTCATTCCTTCCTGTTGGTTATGCATGTATATTTCTATCTCACCTTTCCTCCTTCCAAGGAACTCAAGGAAGCTTACATAATTTTCCTCCTCTCAGTCTTATCCTCACAACAACCTGTTGGGCTAAGAGTCTATGACTAGCCCAAAATCACTCAGTTTGTTCCATGGCTGAGTGAGGACTAGAATATGAGTACTTTTAACCACGATACCACACTGGACCTCAAGGAATTATTTCAGTTGTTTTGAGGAAATGTAGAACTCTTAAGAGAAAACAGATTGAAATATGTTTTTAAATTCAGTTTATTCTCAGGTTCTGTTTCTGGATGTGTCGGTTTGGTTGTGTTTCCTTAGGTATTGCTGAGTGTTAGGTCTAGCAAGGTGGGCCAAATTAAAAGGGGACAGAAGTTGATGAGAAGATCCATCTTCAGTTCTAAGTTCTGGTATAAACAACCATTCAAATATAAATGACAGGTCTTCTGTATCAGGGGTAGGTAATGTGTAAACCCACCAAATATTGTGGCCCACAACTCCCATTTTTCCTCACCAATGTCTGTACTGGCAAGAGCTAACAGGTTTTACAAGCAGAACACATGCAAAGGATCACTAGATGTTCACTCCTGCTCTATTTAAAAGACTCCTGAATTTAGTGGAGCTTATTCATGTCCCTATGGGGCTAAGACCTACTGAAAACATCACTTATTTTTCTGAATATGCATGCACAAATATGACACTTTGGGTGACCTTGCACCAAACAAAATTAGATTTTTCAATTTTGGATAGAATTATTTTAGTCTTAGTTTTGGGGTTGGGAAAAGGATGGCCATTTCTAAACACCTCTATTTTGAGGAAATTTTGAATAATTTTTTCTTCTTAATCTTCCAATCCCATATCAGATTTTTTTGTACTTACTACACTTAAGGACACACAACAGCATTTTAAGTGGGTGCACTGAAAGGATAGGTATGCATAATGGGAGTTCTATGGCAAGGTTAAAAACTAGGTCATGCTATGTCAAATACAGCACTGCTCAGTTTAAAAGATACCTTAAAAATGGGGACACAATAAAAAGCCTAGGGGATCCATCCAATCAGAGCTCCAATTGCTCTCATGTCTAAGTTTAGCATCAAAGAGTAATTTTCCACCATGGAAATGAATGGCATAAATATGCAAGACTGATTTTCTACTCTAAAAGGTAAAAGAATTAAATCCTATTTTGGAGTATATGCATAAATCTTTTCTTGCATAAAAGGATAGGCAGATTTTACCTAGAGCTGGAACCAACCAGAGAGTTTCTCCCCAACCCTCTCCCCAACATAAAAGAGCTCCAAGCTACAGCATACACATCCACCTCATGGATCAGGTATATCAGGCTGGGTTCCCATTTTCTCCATACAAGTAAATACACAAGGTATTTGCATTGCTGCTCTGCTTTGGAATGATTGTACAACAGAGGCAAAATTCTGGATCCTATCTGCCAAATGCAGGCAAGCAGTGCTGTGAAGCTATGACTGTCACCAAGTCGAGAAGTGAGTAAACAAGTGGGTCTAAGCTGAAGCAACAGGACATTATCCACCTGCTGGTTCTTGAAGCCATTTGGCAGATGGATTCACTGTGGAAGGCAAGCAAATCTCCTTATTCCTTCTGGTTCAATCCCTTGACTATCACAAACACTTCGCATAATAGACTAGTGTTTTATGTAATGTATACATACTCTTCCTCAAAACAGGAAGGATTTATTGCAATTTACATTTCACAGGCAGATGGCAGCAAAGCACAGAGTATGAAATACAACTTGGGGTTCGGTGGAAGAAATACCTTTCTTCAATAACAGCACTGACCATGGTTCTCCTAACAATTTTCAAGACACAATATATATTTCCATAACAGAAGAGCAAAATAGCTCCCAGCTGACCATCATTGTGGCCCATCTCTATCAAATGGATTCCCACCTCAGGCATGGAGACAATAATTAATGTATGTATAAATGTTAGGCATGCCCTAAACAACTTGGAACTAGGATACCTAGAAGACTGCCTTTGATATATATTTATAAAACAATTTGTTCCAAAGTGCATTCTCCATGTATAATCACCTGATCATTAAGATCCTCGAAGGAAGCCTTGCTGATAATTTCTTGACCAGTGTAATGACACCATGTGACATATGGAAAGCAGGCCTTCTGAGCAGTGGTGCCCACACTTTCACCCTCCCTCCCCTACAGAAGGCAGTAAAATTCTCAAGTCTGTATAAAGCTCAGTTTAACTGTTTTCCATTGCTGCTTTATAATAATTTTTCTTTGTTTAATTTGGACCTAAAATTCTTTATTATGTTAACAGTGATATTTAATATCAGTACTTTAAATATTTTAAGGATTGCATATTTTAGTATGTAAGCCTCTTAGACATATCAAGCCATATATAAGTAATATAAACAATAAAGAAAGATTATTCATTCAGTAAATAATATTCTTCAAATTGTTTTCTTAGGAGTATTTCTTTGATTTCAGTCATACTGAAATCCAAAGTACTTACTTCTGAATAAATACACACAGGACTGCACTGCATGTGATTAAACTGCAGAAACTTGGCCTTGAGATGACTTTAGGCAGAGCATCTAGAATCCCATGCAGCATCTAGCATGTAGCAACTAGTATCTCTTCTGCTTTTAGTAGAGAACTGCAGTTAATTGTAAAATCAAGGTTTCTTCCTCTTAGACATGAGTATGACGGAGTTAGTGTGGTCTGGCTGAGCAGACTACTCTAGACCAACCATAACAGAGGGTCACAGGATTCTTTGGAGCTCCAGCTCTAAGAATCTGCAACCTTGGAGCTGGGATTCCAGACATAGAGTTGGTGCCCCATGTCCTGACAGTTGGTAAAGAAAGAACCATATCAGCTGCCTCTGCAAGGTCAAAATCGGCCTCGAAGAGGTAAAGAGGTGTACCAGAGGGAAAGGAGGAGGCCAGGGTCAAAGTCTCACACCTTATCCAAGTGGCATCTCCAACCTCCCTCCATCTACAGTGCTTCATGAAATGCATGGTGTAAGGTGCAGATCCACACTGCCCACACCTTACTATCTATATTGAATCAAAGAAGATAACATGCACCGAGCACAGAAGGCACTGGACTGCATCTCAACTTATTTTGTGTTATATCTAACTGGCTCAGCCAAAGCAACTTTTGTTCATGATAACAAGTATAAACAAGCAAATAAAGTATGTTTCACAGTTGAAACACAAACAGTTCTGTCTCCTTTCAAAAGATAAGGCTCTTTAAGGACCACTACAGTCAAGTTCTTGCCTCAGCAAGTTATCTACCATCATTACAAAAAAAAATCTACCTTAAAAACAGAATGTGGGCTATATATAAAAACAGCTTTCCAAATACTTTTGCCACAAAAACCTGCCCATACTGTGTCTAAAATTGTTGAATCACATGAAAATCAAAATAGGATCATTGCATACACTTGGAACAAGGTTACCTGTAGCTTATGGTCCTAAATTGTTCCCCCAGAATTGCAGCAAGACCAACAATCCAGTCACTACAGCAAACACATTTCCCATGGTGAGTACACACAACCTTCTGGTAAGCAGCTTCTCTTCCCCTTGATGGCCTTCCCTACTTCAAAGCAGAAAAGGCAGGGAGACAAGTTTTAGATGCTGCTTCTTCAAGGCCACCTGGAGTGCCTTCAGCCAGCTACATCTAACAATAAATGTTCTTCCCCTTGCCCTCCAGTGAGTATCAGCATTAAATGCTGGTGCCCAAAAGTGTTCCTTGTTCTTTGGGAAGTGAGGGTCCAAAAGTGTGTGCCTCATCCTGGCCTGTGTCAGCATTTTTGTTATGATAGACTGCATAAAGGGGAAGCACTGCACAGGTGCTTTCCCCCTCATTCAGCCTTTTCCCCAAAGGGAGCTTCTTTTGTACTTGCCAAGTGGTTGAGATTCTGCCAGTCAGGTTATGAACTCTTCCTGATTCCTATCACTGAAACCCATAATAAAAGTTCACTTATGTATACTTGGTGTTTCATGGTTTAAAACAATTGCTTCTTAATCTACTCAGTAGAAAGAATCTTTTTAACACAATGGGATCTTTACATCTTTAAGTAAGATATAGCAGTGAAAAGCAAGAAAAAGTAAAGAATGTACAGATTTAGCTTTGAATGTTTGTGATGAATTAATTTTTATACAATGGCTTTAAAAAAATTTTCTGGCCATAATGCTATGATATTGCATTATAGTGCATTTTAAACAAATAAGCAAAATTTGATCCCACAAAAAATGTCTGGCACATGTTATCCATTCCCTCAAGTTTCAACAAGTAGAACAAGCAGTAGGAACACCGCAATCAGAGAATTCCAGATACAACTTTGCAGCCCTAAAATTAAAGAGAATGACGCAAAGAAACAGCCCTGTGATAGCAATATAGAGCGCACTATGGGGACCTCCCTAAGTCTCGCAAGCCAGTTCTTCCCTCTACTAGGGTCTGCACAAAAAGTTGTGCCTTTCACTTCCTCTTCCCCATTTTTGTGGCTAAGCTCTTGAGAAATCCCAGTTGCTTAGACTCCACCTGGCCCAGTGGCTCAATGTGCATGCTGTCCTGGCTCTGCATTCCCCAGACAGATAACAACTTGAAGATAACAACTTGCCACCACATCCTCAACTATTCCAGTAGAAGTATATAAAAAAACAATAATCTAGCTGTTACAAAGGATTATTAGGATTTGTTTAGGGATACTCCGGTTTGTACAAACTCAGCTACAAGGCATTGTGCAGCTATAGGAATTGCAACTTTTGAAACAAATTTAAGTTCAAATTACTTACCTTGGGGCATGGATAATTCAGTGGCATTCTTCCAAAGGCATACAGTTAAACAAGCATTCTGTCCCATATCCCAGTCCCATTTCCTTCTGGCATAAGATTTCACTCCCAGTGTAACAGTTATACCACTGTCCTGTCTTGAATAAGCATCTGCCAGCAGGCAAGTGTATTTTTATTTAAACAAGCCTTTATGCCAATTCGTAAATATATTGTACAGTGGTACCTTGGCTCATGAACTTAGTCCGTTGCATGACTCCGGTTGTCACTCAAATTGGTCATGAGCCAAGTCAAATTTCCCCATAAGGTTCAATGTAAATAAGATTAATCCATTCTGTAACTATTTTTTTTTTTTACTCACAAAAATTTGAAGCAGTGATAAAGAACAACAAAGAGCGCAGCCATCTCCCCTGCCCCCAAGCGATTGTGCTGGGGGTGGGGGAGATGGCAGCAATCGTGCTTGGGGGTGGGGGGAGAAGGAGTGATCATGGGTGCACTGGGGTGGAGACTGGTGCGACCGTGGGTGTGATTGGGGGGAGATGGGCACGATCACAGTCGCGCTCGGGCAGGAAGGACAGGCGCAATTGCAGCCATTTCCCCAACCCCCTGAGCATAATCGTGGCCACCTCCCCCGCAGCATGACCATGATTGAGCCCATGCAGGGAAGGTGGGCGTGAGCGCGATCATCACCTGATGTGGAGTTCGTGACCCGCAGCAAAATTTTTATGAAATTTCTGTTCGCAACCCAATTTGATTGTGAACTGAGACTTTCATGAGCTGAGGTACCACTGTAATTAGTTTTAACTGGTTGTTTTGACGGATTTTATTGATGTTTTCATTAGTTTCGCTTTTATGTTTGTTACTTTGTATTTCAGTGCAGTTTTACTGCATTTATTCTATTTTATTTTGTTTGCATTATTGCTGTTAGCTGTCTTGAGCACCATTTGGTACAACACTTACTATGACTATTCTAAGTACAGAAGGCACACAAACAAGGAGTTCCAGCTGTGACAGTGAGAAGCAGAAAGGTTCCTTAAGTCTCAGCAAGACAAATACTGCCCATTTCAGACCTGAAGCAGTTATGAAAAGTATGCCTGGAGATCTGTGGACTATTTGCCCTGAACATCAACTCGAATGTGTGCCAGAAAGAGGAGCAAGTGCGTCACTCCCAAAGGAAATGTCAGCTCTAAGGCTTGTTAGGCAACTACCCCCATGGCCTGAGTACATAACCGACATCTTGCACACTTCCCCTTCTTCTTCTCATGCACACACACACATCAATAGAAGTGGCAGCCACTGTAATCACATGCCATGCCTGTACAGGAATGGACTTCTTGAACTTTCTGTCTGGCCCAGATATGTTTATAACAGATTAATCAAAAGAACAATGTCCATCTCTAAGAAAAGTGCTCCAGTGTTCAAGAAGAGCAGCATATATTTTGAACTGACAGAACAGAGGTAAAACAAGAGTTAGCACCAACTTTGGTCTAATATCCAAACTGAAATTCCAGACAGGAAAGAAGATGACTATTTAAGTGAAAGAATGGCAAAGCATGGTCAGTGGAAGCCCAAGTGGTCAATCATACCTTTTACTAGCTTTGACTGGTATATCACCTAGAACAATTTTGAAATAGAATAGCTCGGCTATAGTAATAACTTTGAATCAGCTTGGTCAAGGGAGTACTTGCTTCCATATTGTCCTGCCAGCTCAATGAGATCAGCAGATGAAGCCCTGCTGATGGTGGCACAAGGCATCAGTTATCACCTGACAACCATGCAGAAAAGGGCTTTCACAGCAACAGCACCTACTCTTTGGAACAACCTCTCCTTGGATATGAACCATATGCTAATATATTATTGTTCTGACATAGGTTCAAAACTTATTTCAACAGGCATTTCCTGATCACTAATACCAGCTGCATACCCTTCTGACACACTGGACAGCACATTTATTTGGAATTATCTTTTTTTTTCTTTTATTGTTGTTGATTTGTGTATTATTTTATTTGTAAACTGCTTTGGATATTTGTTAATATAAAGCATTATGGAAAGGTTTTTAAATAAATAAAATGAACAAAATATTTTCCATGTCTCCTGTATAAAAGAAGTTAGGGTATAAATGGTGGGATGCCATTTGTATTGGCATATGAACAGGACACAAAAATTTCATTTCTGCTTCAGGAAGAAATGGAAATCATTTGCAAAATTAGTATCTCTTTCTTGTCCTTGTATTGCTGGCTGGGAAAAAGAGGAAGCAGTTGGTTCTGTCCACATCCTGTCAAGTTCTCTGTCCTACATAAGATTCCAGCAGGAGTTCACATTTTCATCTAACATGGAAGAAAACAAGGGACTTCTTTCTTGAAGAATCATTATATTTCTGTCATAGCCACAAGTCTATTTTTCTGATCTTGTTCTTCTTGGGTCCTATCTTGAATTTTACTTCTCTCACTGTCCAAACAATTTTGATTTCACAATTCCTCAAAATAAAAGCACCGCTAAGTAATATTGCAGTAGTTGGCCATCAGTGATTGTTTTCAATCTAAAAGATTCCAAAACTCTTGGCAAAGCATAAACCCCTATCTATCATCCAAAGTGTTACTGTTTTAAATGCATTCTACAAAGAGAAAAAGGAAGTAAAAGCAGCATTCCAGGAGTATTTAACAGGGCCTTTCATACTCACCCACAGGGAGTTTGCTCTCAAAGCATGCTTCAAACATGTCATAGTCCTCCGTGGTAAAGGCAAATTTGCCCTTAGTAGCATCTTCCTTGGAATACAGAATATGTCCAGCAGAGTCAGTGATCTGTAGGAAAAATAAAGGATAAAAGACAAATAGGTCAAGAATAACTTCTATACTAAAATAAGAGGATGTGGGGGGGGGGAGAAATCTTCCTAAAATAATTTTTCTTTTGTAGTCTTATCCTAGCTGGAGTGATTAAAAATGCAGTGACAATTATTTCTGATAAATTAGGGTTGTCAAATAAAAAATCTGCCTCTTTACCCTCTTCTAGTATGTCAAAGCTGATAACATTCTCATAAAATCCTCTGAAACAAAGATATTTTCCAAGAGAACATGGAGTGAGGAGTGAAGGAAGAACTCATTTCACTGAACATATATTATCACTAGTTTTGAGTATATCAAGCTAGGGGTTAACTAGCCAGACAACTGCAGAACTGAACCTAATTTTTTGTCACTAAATTCACATATTTTGCCTATTGCCAAAATAGCAACTATAAAATAAGCTTTAACTAGAAGCATGTTTAAACCCACCTAATGGTCTCCACTAACTAGAGTAAAAGGTTAGAGGATCTTCAAGTACAGTTCTTTCATAAAATGGGTCAATTGCTCATATACACATTAGTTCCTTCCCAACATTAGCTGGTGCTGTCCAGACATCTTTTGGGTCACTTCTACTTTTCTCTTTCATCAGATGACAGTTGCTTCCTACATAGAGGAAGGCACAATGCACATCAAACTAGGAATACGTAGAGAAAACGGTTTAAAAATCAGCCTACACAATTCCGGGGGAGCAACCAACCTACAAGATGTTCTACAATGATTTAGTATTATGCACAGTAACATCATCCTTCACAAGCACAGCTTTCTTTCCCACATTTCGAGTCTGAACAATAAGCACCCACATGACTGGGATCTGGAAGGATGACAGCTATTAAAGAACTTTATCCTTGCAGCCAACTGGCATATTACTGGCATGTTTCTTGAGAACAGAAGGTATAACTCTTAGTGTTGAGACATCATGATAAGAGAGTACTCAACTGTGGTAGAGAGTACTCAACACATGAACAAAGAAAAAAAATGAAATGACTTCAGTCCAAATCAATTGCTTTTCCAAGATTATGTTGTTCTGAGCAAAAGCATTCATACAGCATTTTGACTTTCAGCAAAGAAAACTAGTATGTGATCACTGATAACTGGAAAACCTAGTCCTGACAGTTAAGACTTTTATGTGGCCCTTGGACATTTTTATTCTGAATAAGCAAGCAGTGTATTTGTTAGAGGATACTTAGTTGATTGCCAAAGCCAGGACCCAAACACAAATTCCTAGAATAAAGCATGCATTGCCCTATTGTGGCCTACACAGCATGCCAGAGCCTTTGGCTGAGAGTGAAATATTATTGCTAACAGCAATAACTTATGTTATTATAAAACTGATGTTGCAAAGCCTAAGCTATCAAACTCATGATGCTTAAAAGTATGACATATCATGTGGGACCTCATACATATCCTTCAAAGTACATATCAGAAACACATACTTTCATAGTTCCAAACTGTACTTTCAGAAGGGGGCAGTTTAAATATTTTGGGAAGAAGTGGGTAGTTAAAAAATTTCACACGAGAAACCAGAGAGGCATTTGGGAACAAGCTCAATGTGAGCAATAAAGGGTGTTTAGGAACACTGAATTTATTGTATGTAACAATACTTACTTTCAAGAAAGGGTGTTTAGGAACACTGCGCTTATTGTATGTAACAGACTGTATATCCTAGCAATGACACATCAACTCTAAAAGCTGCCATTCTCCTAGGTATTGCTACCATATGGTCTACTGTTCAAAAACCTCTAGCAAGTCCTCGTGGATTCAAAACCCTTTTGAGCAAATCAGTTAGGGCAAATCTTCAAATAGAAACAACATGGTGATGATTTTGAAATGGGAGGGATCTTGGAGGGATCCTTCCCATCCCCATAATGATTTATTGTGTATGTAAAGAATCATTCCAACTTATCTAGTGCTGTGATGCTACAACACTGTGTTTTTTGTCCCACAGCTTAAGTTTTTCCTAGTATAAAAACAGACAACATACTGATTATATGATGCAGGACACAATACTTGGAGAAAATTCGAAATGGGGCTGCCGTTTTGGTGGCAAACACACTTTTACTTGCAGTAGCATTTGCAAAAACTAGTTCCAGAATTCATAGTACCCCTATTGCTGTGGTGCAGAGTTAGTCTTGCCTTGGTAGCATTACTACTGCCATGATACCTGAAGATTACAAACAGCTGCACTACCCCATCACTAGCATTCAGACACTCTCACACTTTGTCTTCCACCCTAACAGTGCTCTCAGACTCTTGCAGCATGGAATTAAATCCATCACTCAACTTATTATTTTAAGAATTGTTCTAAAGCAGGGATTAACAATCTGTGGCCTTCCAGATGTTCTGGTTTAGAACTCCCATTAATCCTAGCCAATTGTGAGGCCGAAAAATCTGGAGGACCACAAACTGCCTATAGTCTTCCTGTATCATTTGCTGAACTGTGACAGCAAGCTAGTTGCTGCTCAGCACTCAGAAATAAAAGACTGTTGGGTCAGAAAACAAAGCTCAGCTAAAGTACATTAAGAGTAAAAGCCGAGTCGTGGCTATATGGTAGAAAGATTCTGTGAGAGAACTGTACCAAGGGAACAGCCTGTTGCACAGAGAGAAGCACCCCTGGTGACAGTCTCACGGTACTGTGGGCCACGATTCTCCCCGCAAGCGCACAGAGCTGGGCCTATTTCCTCCTTCCGTATTTCGGCCTTCCCAGGAAAGACGGGGAGGGCTGACGTGTCCCAAGAACAGGAAGGGCCGAGGAAGCCAGTATGTGGCCGGTACAAAACGGCCGGAGTAAACAGGGCCTTGCACCGCCTCCGGGCACGGCTCCCCGCCCCCTGACGGCGGGAAACTGCGGGGCAGCGCGGTAGCAACAAGAGGACTCTTCCCCCCGCACTTTTACCTAGGGCCAAACTTCCGGTGTCCCCCACCCAAAGAGCACCCCAGTTCGCAACCGCCCCCTCGGCTGACTGGCTGCACCTTGAGATTGGCAGACGGGCCGCTGGACGAGCCCGGCGGAGGGGCGACCTCGTACTCGCCGGTGACCAGCGTGTCGCGGTGAATCTCCTCCCGCAGGCATTTGCGGGCCTTGCCCGGCAGCTGGAAAGATATGGGCCGCGCAGGGCCCGGCAGCAGGACGAGGAGCAGGAGTGTGAGGAGGGGCGGGAAGGCCGGCCTGAGGTGGAAGCGGCCACCGGGCACCGAAAGCAGCAGCATGGCGGCAGATCCAACCGACACAAGGCCGGGCGCTTTGTCTCCGCCCCCAGCTGGAGGCACGTGACCCGCCGCTTCTTGCGTGACGGCACGGGGGAGGTCTATACGCGGCTCCGTGGGCAGGAGGCTCGAAGCACGAAGCGCGCGCGGGGAGGCGCAGGCTGCTGCTGCTCGGCAGTCACGATAATGCGAGTGGATCGTTTGAAATGGTGGGCTTAAATAGTGTTACTTCCACCTAGAGTGGAGCTGTTGAGATGTCTTGGACAAGCCCTGCTCAACTCTTTTCATTGCAGGGCTTTTTGGAAAGCTTTTATTCATAAGGTCGCCCTAAGTCGACTTCACGGCACATACAACCTTCATAGGGTCTTCCTATGTCGGAGACAACTTGAAGGCGGTTTACATGGTTAGAGAAGAACGAGGCCTCCGTTTTGTTTTCAACCTTTGCTATGATGTCATATGAGGAAGAAAAGAGCTTCTTTGAGCATATGTAATGCGGCTTTTCTTGTCTGACCGTGGAAATACATCACATTTGTAAAGTGTTGTATTACACAGTGACTATTTTCTAAAAGCGGGGTGGGTGAGAAAACCCATCCCTGAGTCGTGCTGTTAAATTGGCTCCCCTTACTTAACAAAAATCTTTCTAAAAGCAGTGGGTGTTTTAAATGGTAGGATCCTGATTTAATAATACTTAAACTTTAAGTCTTAAAGTAACATTGTATTCAATGGGACATAAGGTTATCATGGCTCCGTTATATTGGCTTCAGTGTGCATACCCTTAAGTATAACGAAGTTTAGGTCCAACCCAAGGTCAGTGTGTCAAACTAGAATAATGCCTACAGTTCACAATCAGCATGGCCCTAATCCTACATAAATCATAAAAGTAAAGCTGCAATTACCAAATCATGTATGAAATCAGTGAGACTTCTGACTGCAACCCTTGCAATACTTATTTCTAGTGAGTCCCACTGAACTTTGACACTTTGGCCTGAACTTTGACACTCTGGCCTGAGTAACGTGCAATCCTATAGATTGCTGCTCAGAAATAAACCCCATTGAGCTCAATGGGGCTTACCCTCAAGGTAGATGAGTGAAGGACTGCAGCCTGAATATACTGTGCCATCGTAAAAGTTTATGTACATACCAATGTGTTTGATGTTGACATTTTACATTGGACTAATGTCAGCAAAGTCTCAGTGAAGTCTACAGAAATGTTTTTTGAGACTTCAATCAAAATTATATGGTTGGCTGTTTCCCATGGCACAAGTTGTATTAACATTTTATTTTCTTATTAACAGTAGTGATTTCATGAAAAACTAAGCAGTTTTGTAGCACCTTAAAGACCAAATTTATTTTGGCACAAGCTTTCAAGGGCTCGAGCCACTTACTGAAAATACCAAGTGGCATAAGAAACACCAGCACATATGAGTCCATACCACTATTATGATCAAACTACATCTGTGGGGAAGTAATTAAATGCAGCCAGCTTGTGACCCAGAGAAAGCAACACCTGTTGCTTTTATAGCTCCTGCATAGTGTTGAAGCAAGCCACACTACCTCCATCCTCCCCACCAGCTGCGAAGGAGACTGTATGAAAAAGGAACCCCATAGCATCAGGGCAGGAGGAAATGTTCTTGATTAATATTTTGCTTGGTAGACATTCTGTGAGGAGTCAGTTCCATACATTGTTTATGTTTTTTTTGTATTTTTTGTGAGCCACCCCGATGAAATGTTTTAAATAAATTAAATAAATAAATATTTGGTTCTTATTCTGCTTCTCTGACTACATCTGTAATGTGTCACACTATCAATAAACTTGTTTTGTAGCTAGTGTTCCCTCATTTTGCACAAGACAGTTCCTTTGCATGCACGTATGTATTCAGAGTTAAAGCACACCATAATTCAAAAGAATAAAACCAAGCATTTGTACTGCCAAATACATGAATAGCTGTTATTTATGTAACTGAACTCCTCTACCAACCTAGGGTTGATGCATGTACTCCTACAAGCACAGGCTAATGTATACTGTGTTGCAATGCTCAAAACTTCTAAGTAAAGTGTACCTCCATGTTTGCATGTGCATGCCCTATTCTAGTTAACCTTTTTCAAGGCATGAAGCACAAACTTCTTTTCCTGTACCTGTACCTTCTTTCCTGTATAAAACAAAACAGCAACAACCGCATTACACATGAACTAGCCACCACATTATTTAAAAAGGGGTGGGGGGAGAATGTGTGTATGTATGCATACATGCTTTCGGTTAACATGTATATTTAAAGAGGCTATTTGTTGCAGATCATGATCTCTCTTGACACTTTAATAAATCACAAAAGCTGGGCAATCCTACAAAGCTATGTGTGCGTGCAGGAAGGAGGCTGTACACATATTTGAAGCTTCTATTGCTGCTACTTTCATGGCTAAACAGGCAAGTTGCTGTTCAGCTTAAAATCAACTTGCTTATTCAGCCATCTGAACTTCAAAGACACTTCCGGCTGCATAAGCACATTGCTTTGTAGTAAGTTGGCCGAAATCAGCCAAAAGCTAACCTCAAAAAGAATGTCTGTTTTGAATGGTAAACTACCATAATTCTGTTTCCTGCAACTGCAATGTTAGATTAGTTTTGCCAGGAAAGTCAATGTAGTGGAATCTGTAAGATACTCATCAGATTCAAATGGGAAGTGTGGAGCTTAACACAATGAGAATATAATAATTCGTCACTAGGTTTAATGCTACAAGTTTTGTAGCCATATATCTGCTGAACATGCCATTGTTGTTAGTCCCGAAGTCATGTCTGACCCATCGTGACCCCATAGACAACATTCCTCCAGGCCTTCCTGTCCTCCACCATCCCCCGGAGTCCACTCAAGCTCACACCAACTGCTTCAGTTACTCCATCCAGCCACCTCATTCTCTGCCGTCCCCTTCTTCTTTTGTCATCTATTGTTCCTAGCATTAGACTCTTCTCCAGGGAGTCCTTCCTTCTCATTAGGTGGCCAAAGTATTTGAGGTTCATCTTCAGTATCTGGCCTTCTAAAGAGCAATCAAGGTTGATCTCCTCTAGGACTGACCGGTTTGATTGCCTTGCAGTCCAAGGGACTCGCAGGAGTCTCTGCCAGCACCATAATTCAAAGGCCTCAATTCTTCGGCACTCAGCCTTCCTTATGGTCCAGCTTTCACAGCCATACATTGCAACTGGGAAAACCATAGCCTTGACTATACACACTTTGTTGGCAGGGTGATGTCTCTGCTTTTTAGTATGCTATCTAGATTTGCCATAGTTTTCCTCCCCAGGAGCAAGCGCCTTTTAATTTCTTGGCTGCAGTCCCCATCTGCGGTGATCTTGGAGCCCAGGAAAATAAAATCTGTCACTACCTCCATTTCTTCCCCATCTATTTGCCAGGAAGTGAGAGGACCGGATGTCATGATCTTAGTTTTCTTAATGTTGAGTTTCAAGCCAACTTTTGTGCTCTCCTCCTTCACCTGCATCAAGAGGCTCTTTAGTTCCTCCTCACTTTCTGCCATTAGAGTGGTATCATCTGCATATCTGAGGTTGTTGATATTTCTCCCAGCAATCTTAATTCCAACTGGTGATTCATCTAGCCCTGCCTTTCTCATGATGTGCTCTGCATATAAGTTAAACAGGCAGGGCGACAGTATACAGCCTTGCCGAACTCCTCAATTTTGAACCAATCAGTGGTTCCGTGCCCAGTTCTCACTGTTGCTTCTTGACTCGCATATAGGTTTCTCAAGAGACAAATAAGATGGTCAGGTACTCCCATCTCTTTAAGAACTTGCCACAATTTGTAGTGATCCACACAATCAAAGGCTTTAGCATAGTTGATGAAGCAGAAGAAGAAGTTTTTCTGGAACTCCCTAGCTTTCTTCATGATCCAGCGTATGTTGGCAATTTGATCTCTAGTTCTTCTCCCTCTTCCAAATCCTGCCTGTACTTCTGGTAGTTCCCGGTCTACATACTGCTGGAGCCTAGCTTGTAGGATTTTGAGCATAACTTTGCTAGCATGTGAAATGAGTGCCATGGTGCGGTAGTTTGAACATTCTTTGGCATTGCCCTTCTTTGGGATCGGAATGTAAACTGACCTTTTCCAATCCTGTGGCCACTGTTAAGTTTTCCAATTTGCTGGCATATTCAGTGTAGCCCTTTTACTGCATCATCTTTTAAGATTTTGAATAGCCCAGCTGGAATACTGTCACCTCCACTAGCTTTGTTGTTGCTCAGACTTCCTAAGGCCCATTTGATTTCACATTCTAGGATGTCTGGCTCAAGGTCAGTGACCACCCCATCGTGGTTATCAGGGATGTTAAGCTCTTTCTTGTGTAGTTCCTCTGTGTAATCTTGCCACCTCTTCTTAATCTCTTCTGCCTCTGTTAGGTCCCTGCCATTTTGGTCCTTTATCATGCCCATTTTTGTGTGAAACGTTCCCTTCATATCTCCAATTTTCTTGAAGAGATCTCTGGTCCTCCCTATTCTATTGTTTTCTTCTATTTCTTTGCACTGTTCATTTAAGAAGGCATTCTCATCTCTTCTAGCTATTCTCTGGAATTCTGCATTCAATTGGGTGTATCTTTTTCTTTCTCCCTTGCCTTTCACTTCCCTTCTTTCCTAAGCTATTTGTAAAGCTTCCTCAGACAGCCATTTTGCTTTCTTGCATTTCTTTTTCTTTGGGATGGTTTTAGTTGCTACCTCTTGTACAATGTTGCAAACCTCCGTCCATAGTTCTTCAGGCACTCTGTCTATCAGATCTAATTTCTTAAATCTTTTTGTCACCTCTACTGTATATTCAGGGATATAGTGCTTTTCCCTACTTTCTTCAATTTAAGCCTAAATTTTGCAATGAGAAGCTCATGATCTGAGCCACAGTCAGCTCCTGGTATTGTTTTTACTGACTGTATAGAGTTTCTCCATCTTTGGCTGCAGAGCACATAGTCAGTCTGATTTCTGTGTTGACCGTCTGGTGATGTCCATGTGTAGAGTTGCCTCTTGGGTTGTTGGAAAAGCGTGTTTGCTATGACCATCGTATTCTCTT